CTACTGCACCCAGAAGCACACGGTCGGAAACACACCGTGCAAGCTGTAGGAAATTGCGCTTTTAGGCTGGAGCGCACAGGGGTGAACACACCGCTGAATGTGCTGTATAACGCAGCTGAGAACCTCCTGTAGAATGAAGGCTTCTTCGTTTCCGTAGAATTTCTCTTGAAGAGAGAAAGTGCTCACAAAACAATTGGCTTGATCTGAAGCAAAAATATGAAGGAGTGGATGCACGCTGCCAACTTATATACCCGTGTATACACGGGGGGTGGCTTGGCATGCAAATCCCACTCGCCAATTGTTACTGGCCATTTCTCGGAATGCTCAGAAGTGACTGGGGTTCCCACGTGAGACCCCTAATGTCAGTGTCGACATAACGTCGAATGTGACTGACAGGGAACTGTAGTAACCAGGGTCAAAACTGCCATATAGACCCAATATTTAGATTACTGGTTGACCAAAATGGGGTTTTAAATGGTTTGTTCATAAATGAATACAATTGGTCCCCTCTATTCCTCAACATTATGCTATTTTGGAGGAAGTTATCGTTCCTGTGGTACATTTTTGTAGTTTCTAAAACAAGTTCACTTTAAGAAAAGTCTGTAAAAATAGGGCCCAATGCACTGTTAATAATATACGTTAATATTCCATATTGAATTTCACAGGTCAACAATTAAGGCCCTTAATGGTTTAGCTCCTGTGTACCTAACTAGTCTTCTACCACACTACAATCCATCACACTCCCTAAGGTCGCAAAACTCTGCTCTTTTGGTAGTACCTAGGATAGCAAAGTCCACTAAAGGAGGTAGAGCTTTTTCGCATTTGGCTCCCAAACTCTGGAATAGCCTTCCTGATAACGTTCGAGGATCAGACACACTCTCTCTGTTTAAATCTAGATTAAAGACTCATCTCTTTGGCCAAGCATTCAAATAATGCATCTCATAATATTGGACTGCAGTTATATCTGATCAAGTGCGCATTATTATTCGTTAGTTTGGGTTAAATAAATTAATTTTAACCACTGATAAGCTACTACTAAATATTGTAGAAACTTAATTTTCTGTAAAGTTGCTTTGCAACGATTTGTATCGTAAAAAGTGCTATACAAATAAACTTGAATTGAATTGAACAAGTATTTTAGCTGTATTTTGAATTATGCATTATTGTGTTATGTTTTACGGTTAAAGGAACTTAAGGATAATGTCTTGGCAGAAAATTATCAATACACTGAATAAAATAGGTGTAGGATTTAAAAACAAAAAGTGGATCCCATTGCAAGAAACAAAAATAATCGACGTCCAGGCACTCGCATAGCAGGCAAAATATAAAAAGCCTTTATTGTGCGACAGGGCTACATGTTAAAAAACACCAACGCATATCAGCCCAAACAGGTGTAGGATTTACTTTGAAACAATTTTCACTCAGAAATTTCACAAAATTTCGGAAAAATACATTAAAGGTTAGTCTTTAGTTAGTCTGTAATGTTGCTGTTTGAGCATAAAAAAGATCTGCAAAGTTACAAAGCTCAAAGTCCAATTCAAAAGGAGATATTTTATTCAACAGAAATCACTTTTCAAAAACTACAACGAAGATTCGTTTGGACTACAACGCATATTTTCCGGGATTTGTGATTTCGCAAATAATGTTCTAGTACACCCCCAAAACAAAATCAAGACTTTGTAAAAGAGCATAATAGGACCCCTTTTAAAAAAAATCACACTGTACACTGCACTGCACACTGTTTTTCGACTTTTTTTTTTCTTTTTTTTTTACAATTTTGATATTATTGCCATAATGTGAATACAGCAAGAAAAACGAATTTTAAGTACACATGCTCAGAGAAAAACATTAAATAGGAGAAATGAATGATTTGTGTTGATCATTTCCACACACTCTTGCCATTCTGAGACAGACTCGAATAAAAAATATTCATTGAATACTTTTTTTTTTTTAAGCAAAACTAAACACTAAAGGGAAACACCTGTAACTATATACACATTATTATAAGTGTGGAATCCCAGAGAATGACACATTTAATAGTTCTACTAAAGCCATCTGGGCCTGGAAAGAGAGCGAATGTGGATCTTTATATGAGGCAGTACAAAGAATGGCTAGAAAATGTATTTTTTGGAAAGTGAGTCCAGAAACAAGAAGAAAGCAGATGGGTTTCTTTGCTCAAGTTCAAATATTGTTTTGCTAATGTTCTTATTATCTGCTTCCAAATATTTCTACTTTTCCTGCAACAGTTTGGAAGTACATCCGTATCTTTAAACATATGCATAGTAAAATCATTCTTTCCACTAACCTTTATAAACATACAGTATGTTAGATCCAAAACCTAGTGAGCTGCCTATATAGGATGTATTTTAAGGTATCATAGCAACACTCCCAACTTGAAGGTTGTTCTAAAACTAGTCAGTGTGATTAAAGTGTGCACTTAAAGTGAGTTGTTTCTTATGTAGAGAGTTTTAAAACAGTTACCTTTGAGGTTCTGTTACAACTAAAGGAATAGTTCACCTAAAAATGAAAATTTGCATCCTTACGCCATCCAAGATGTAGATGAGTTTGTTTCTTCAGCAGATTTGGAGAAATGTAGCATTGCATCACTTGCTCACCAATGGATCCTCTGCAGTGAATGGGTGCCGTCAGAATGAGAGTCTGATAAAAACATCAGAATAATCCACAAGTAATCCACAGCACTCCAGTCCATCAGTTAACATCTGGAGAAGACAAAAGCTGTGTTTGTAAGAAACAAATCCATCATTAAGATGTTTTAACTTCAAACTATTGCTTCTGGCTAAAATGATGCATAATCCATAATAACGCTTCCTCCAGTGAAAAACTCCATCTCCTGTTGTCCTCTCATATCAAGATCCACCCACATATTTGTTTAGAGCTGTTTTGGCTTGTAAATGGTGCTTGATCATATGTTTCTTCTAATTCGGATCAATGACTTCTTCATTAGAATAAATTTGAAGCAACAGTTTGAAGTTAAAACATCTTAATTATAGATGTTAACTGATGGACTGGAGGGGTGTGGATTACTTGTGGATTATTCTGATGTTTTTATCAACTGTTTGGACTCTCATTTGTGAGCAAGTGATGGAATGCTACATCTCTCCAAATCTGATCCCATGAACAAACAAACTCATCTACACTCATTTTTGGGTGAACTATTCCTTTAAGAGCAAAGCAGCTCACTAGGTTGTGTGATAAATACACACACATTTGCACAGGTGGAAATTATTGGTGGCAGCAATAAACACTTGAGAAATGAAATGACATTGGGTCTTTTAATAACTGTTATAACTCAATATAACTGTGTAAGATACACATCACCAAACCCTCACAGGAGACACTGGATCTGTCTGTGGGAATGAGTGAGAGAAAGAGACCAGACAGACAAACAGACTAGAGGTGTGGAATTAGAGAGCAGAGAAGAGAGGCTAGAGCAGATGAAGAACACACAGAATCTACCTAATACCTACCTAATATTTTTTAAAAGTCTTTTATTTTACCTATTTGCCGAAGCACATTTTCTCATTTTAATTTAGCTTTATTTGATGTACTAAAATAGGTAAAACAGTTAAAAATAAAAATTTATTAAAATTAAATAGACATAATAAAAAAATATATTTAAATATTATTTTTTTAAAATTATTAAACTAATTCAAATAGAAAATTGGAAATATCAAAACTAACTCAAAGTATTAATAAAAACTATAACATATCTTAATGATATTAAAAGAACACTGGATACAAAATATATGTCTCATTTGATTAAGTTTCTACACTGAAAAAACGGTAAACCTAAAAATGCTAACATCTAAGGGTGTTTACACAACAGCATTGTCAACTAAAAATGGAAAACTGTTTATGCATTCTGGTTGTTCATTTACTCAACAGTAACACATTTTTAACAGTAAAAGTCAAATGTGTTTTGGGGGCCTGAAAACAGAAGCTTGGTGCAAGGTTTTGAAAATGGTACCGTAATTATCTTGGTGTAAACTTCAAACTTCAAAGTCATTTCAACTTAAATTATATTAAACTAACTTAAAAATTGAGGCAAATTTTGTGTAACCTGAAAAATAAAGTTGAAATTGGCTAAATAATTTTGATTAATTACGGTAATGGAAAAACATACTTATTGATCACATCATTTACAGCTAATTTTACAAATGAAATCAGTAGATCATTTGCAATGGAACCTCTTTTTAATGAGCCAAACAAGTTAATGGGATCCTGAACACGCCATGATTTGTCATATTTAATAGTGTTTATCATCCATACAGGTAAAAGGAAACAGCACAAACCTTCTTGTATTTTGGCACCACCTTAGCCAAACTGCATGTTTTAAACGTGCACGCGATTTGATCAATCCGTAGAGGTTACATTTTTTGGCAAAAACAAAAACATCTCTGTGTTTGTTAACAGTTTGGGAGGCTTGATTTGAACTGGCATCTATCATGCTTTATTATAGGAAGCAGATGTTATATTAAAACTTTCCCTGGCAAATTCTCCACTTCCACGCCTCCGAGATCACATTTCTTTACTTTCCTGAAAGACTGCGCAAGATTATACAGCCTCTCTGCTTTATTCGTACTACTGACTTGGAAGTTGTTTATGTTGTATTCATAGCATTTTAATTTAATATACAGTATGCAGTGGTTGGAAGCACTATTTGTGGACTGAGTGTTTGAGAAGCTCTATTTGTTCAGCAGCCTGTGTATTTTAAATGTGCGTCAGGGTTCAATACTTGACTTTCAGTTGTGCCGTAGTTGCTGTTTCTGTGGAGCTTAAAATTGGTTGTTTGACAGCTGTTTTCTTTTTTTGTTCAGATTATACAGCCTCTCTGCTTTATTCGTACTACTGACTTGGAAGTTGTTTATGTTGTATTCATAGCATTTTAATTTAATATACAGTATGCAGTGGCTGGAAGCACTATTTGTGGACTGAGTGTTTGAGAAGCTCTATTTGTTCAGCAGCCTGTGTATTTTAAATGTGCGTCAGGGTTCAATACTTGACTTTCAGTTGTGCCGTAGTTGCTGTTTCTGTGGAGCTTAAAATTGGTTGTTTGACAGCTGTTTTCTTTTTTTGTTCGCCTTCCAGACTAAAAAAAAACTAGCATGTAATTCCTAACACAGGACCAACTGGACTGGTTTACAATGAAAACTCCAAACCACACAGAAAAACATACGCCAACACATCAGCTCAGCAGAAATCCAGCTCAGATTCACACAGACACTTCTAGCTGATCTGTTGCAATTTACAGTACAATTAACATTTACATTAGGGTAATTTTTTCAAATAGTGTCTCCTATGATTATTTTAAATATATAAAATAATAAAAAAATTAATAATAAAAAATTAATAAAAAAATTTCTTTATTATAAATTGGTTCTATTTGTTCACATTACTTAACTACATTAGTTAACAAGAACTAAAAAGAAAAATATTTTAAAGCATTTATTAATCTTGTTAATTTTACACTGAAAACAAAAAGTAGAAACAATTTTAACTCAGAAATTGCTATTGAATTTCACAAAAAATACAAAGCAGCAACACACTGAATTAAATGTAAAATTGTGAAATAGAAAATCCTGAAATAGGATTCTGTTCTATTTATTTGTTTGTTTATTAATGCAATAATAGAATCAAAAGTTGTATATGTTAATATTATTTAATATATTTGAACTAACAATATACAGTTGTATTTTTTTACTAACATTAAAAAAAACAGTAATTAATACTGTAACAAAAGCATTAACTACCGCTAACTAATGGTACCTTACTGTAAAGTGTTAGCTAATAGATTAAAATTTTTATTCTGTCTAAATAAACTATTTTCGCTATTTTTAAGAGACATACTCTTTACAATAAATGGTTAAAAAGAAGCCAAGAATCGCTGTGTTCAATACTGCTGTTATTACCGTAACATCATAACGCATTTTAGCCAATTAGGTTGTTCCAAAAAACTATTATTTCATTATGAAATTATAATACATAGCTTTAAATAAATAATATAGGTTTAGGTGTCAATTCAGCATAATTATTTTAAGTGAAATGACTGCTACACTAGCTAATAAAGTTTTTCCCAAGTACACATGCTCATAAATATGGCAACATAAAGGAAAAGGCTGCAAGTGGGAGAAATGACAGAAAGAGAAATGAAAATATTCTTTGAAAATATTGCATGCATGTAAATAAATAGGCTGGTGCTGCAGGACAGCGAAAGCTTGAGCCACAGATTAGGCTAAATAGATTTGTCTGGTAGCTATTAAAACAGTAGATACATCGGTAGAATCATAACTACCATATGAATGACTTTTTGGCGCATGCAAGTAATCATTTCAATAGCTTAGCAAAATGGTCTGACTCAATTTGTGATTTAGTTCAAATCATTCCGACAATTCACTTGTTTGCTAATGCTGTAAAATTATGGGATACTTTAAAGCAGTAAACAAAACTCTGAATTAGTGGATATTTGCATACGATCTATTACAACAAGACGTGCATCCTACCATTTAGCGATGATAAAGAAGGTTTTTATTATGTTCAGTACCTTCATGAGCAGCTGGACAACTCTGCATATAATCACATTTTCAAAAGGAGCAGGAATATATTATGACAACTAAAGTGACAACAGAAACTCTTTATCATTAAATAATATTAATACAATCAGTGCATAGGTTGCATGAGTCAATTCACTCATTGCTGATGCCTTTTGTAAATTGTTCTCGTTCTTTCATTGTTTTCATCTGCTTAGTTTGTGAAGCACTGCTCTATATATGCTTAAATTGCAGTTACGCAGCTTGTAGGCTTATAAAGCTCTACTAAGACTCTTCTGTGTGTAATTCTCCAAGTGTGCAAAACTCAGTTCAGTTCATTGAGATGCTGCTGGTGGTTCCTCGACTCTTGGATATAGTTTTATGTCACATAGTCTTGCATTGCCAGACTTCTCAACACAGCATAGTCTAGTCCGCATCACAGTTTAATCTGAGCAAGAAGGCAACTGCGACAGTCTGACGACATTGGTTTGTTTACACGTGGAGCATTAGAAATTTCAAATCTAGAGTAGATGATTCCATGGAGCCACAATAGCTGGGAAAAACTATCCATTAGCAAATTCTTCATTATACACTCTCAGAAAAAAGATTATCATTAAGTACACTTTTGTACCTTTTAGGTACTTTAGGTACTAATATATACACATATTTTTTTCATAGCATTTTTTCCCTTTTTCTTTTAAAGAAAGAAACACAGGCTACTCTAAAAGCATTCACTTAAGTGAGAACTGAATGTAATGTTTTCAGACACTAAATTGCATGTTACTTGCAATTAAATAAAAAAATAGTTTAAATGTATATGAAATGCAGTTAGATAAACTTTGATGAGCTTTTTGACACACTCAAGTAGGACTTAAGTACATCTTTATATATGTAATTTCGGTAACACTCTAGTTTAGGGGCCAACTCTCACTATTAACTAGTTGCTTATTAGCATGCATATCACTTGAATATTGGCTGTTTATTAGTACTTATAATGCACATTTTAATGTCTTATTCTGCATGAGCATATTTTAGATCCCTTAATCCTTAAACCCTATACCTAAACTTAACAACTACCTTACTAACTATTAATAAGCAGAAAATTAGGAGTTTATTGAGGCAAAGTCATACTTAAGAGTTAGTTAATAGGGAGAAATTGTCCCTAAACTAAAGTGTGACCCAGGAATTTCATAATTCTATTGTTTCTGAAATATGGTTAAAGTGTTCCTGCTGAATATACTGACAAGCATTTATGGGAAAACTAAAATATATGTGAATGTAATTTTTACACGACAGTATTTCTTTACACTTTAACCATATTTCTTATTTAAAGTACAGTAGGAAGCATTATTATGGATTATGGACTCATGTTTTGGCCAGATGTGACAGTTTTAATTTAAAATGGATTTGTTTCTTACAAGCATGCAGCTTTTGTCTTCACAAGATGTTAACTGATGGACTGGAGTGGTGTGGGTTACTTGTGGATTATTGTGATGTTTTTATCAGCTGTTTGGACTCTTATTCTGACGGCACCCATTCACTGCTGAGCATCCATTGGCGCGAGCAAGTGATGTAATGCTACATTTCTCCAAATCTGATGAAGAAACAAACTCATCTACATCTGGGATGGCCTGAGGATGAGCACACGTTCAGCAAATTGTCATTTTGGATTGTTAGATTAATAAATAATGTAATGAATTGCTCATTTTAACTTAATTTTAGTCAATGTACAGTATTAACTAACAACTATTAACTAACTAATGGGACTTTATTGTAAATTGTTACTTAAATAATGGGGTAGCAATCACCAAGAACATACAGGAATATTGAAAAATAGCCAAAAGAAAAGTTTGTGATTAGAGTAGCCGTATGTCCAAAAGTACTGATTATTTCACAGATGTAACTTGACAAACTTTGGCAAATCCAGTGTGTTTAGTTCTTCCTCAAAAGTGCTGATTGTATCCATCCCGGTACCTTGTAAACATGGCAGGAGGACTGATAAAAGACTTGTGTGGCCTTACACTCGCGTTAGTTGTGTGAGGCAAGCCAATCAGGTTAGAGCCTGCCAGACTGAAAAAGCACTTTCCAGATTTGTGAATATCAGAGGGTCAGTAAATGGGCTCTGGGCGGTTCATTAGCAAACCGGCTGAGGCTGATGCTATATGTGACAAGACAGACCAGGAACATGATGGTCAGGTCAGTTTTGGCCTTTTTGTCACAGGTTAACCACATGCATTTACTCTTTGGTTAAAGGCAAGTTCTAAACTAGTTGTTGCTGGAATGATCTGCTCTGACCGTACCTCGTTGAGCTCTATTGAGAGCATGTGTTAGCATGTGTGTGAGGTTGTTTGTTTGTGTATGCGTGTGAGACAGTGAGAGAGCAATGAGATCTGAAGCAAATTCTTTCCAAAAGACCTTTGAGTTTCATCCACATATATCTCTCTGTGGTGACTAATGCCAGATGGACGTATGAAAACTGATCTTATTTATCTGCCCTTATTTGACAAGAGGATTTATGCAGCCTGTTGCGTTTGGCAGCTTTACGTTACATTCATATCAGGGACATCATTAAATAAACTCTTGAGAAAAATAAGTACATTTTAGCATACTTCTATAAAGAATAATCATTCTGTAAAATATATATATACTTTAAAGTGTGAACTGAATGTAATGTTTTTAGAAAACTAATTGCATATTAATAGGAATTAAAATAAATTAAATTATAGTTTACATTTATATTAAATGCAGTTAGCTGAACTTTTGTGTGTTTGAGTCTATGAAGTAGCTAGGACTTAAGTACATGTCGTTTCATAATTACTTCTGTTGTGTTTGAAATATGGTTAAAGCGTACTGCTGAATGTATTCACATGCATTTATAATAAACGAAAATATACATTAATGCCATTTCTGTTGAAAATTGTATGTCATTCATTTAAATATATTTGTAACTTTAACTTTATTAATATTAATGAAGTACTTCACATGTGTTGGTATGGTAGTGAGCACATCAAATTATTTTAAAATATTATTGTAATGATTAAAAATACATATTTAAAAAAAAAACTAAAATGAAAAAAGTATTTAATATGTAAATTAAATAAAAGTTTAAATTTGCCATTATTACAAATAAGTGTGTTAAGAAACAGTTATGAAAGTGTCTCTATTTAAGTACTTAAGTGGTCTTTTACTTTATCAATATTATATTATCTGCAAGTACAGTTTATATAATATCTCCCAAAACACAGCATTAATGTATAGATGAGAAGTAAACAAAAAAAATGATATATTATTTGTATTATTAAAAATGTATATATTTTTCATAATTACTCTTTCAATGTTTGGGGTCATATTGACCCCAAGGGCCTTAAGTGTAAACAGGAAACGAGGACCATTTGAGGGTTAAGCAAACTTTTTCACAAGGGACGGTTCACTAAAAAAAAAGACTATTCTGTGATGATTTATTCACTGTAAAGTTGTTTTTATATTCTTATATATTCTATGTTCTTTCTATATTTGTTTGCCTATGTGTGTGTTAGAAGTGTAAATGTTATGTTCTGTTTTAGTTTAGTTTTCAAGGATTTCTAGTTTGCTAACCTTTTGTTTCCTATTTCTTTTGTTCTCTGTTCCTGTTTGATCTTTAGTTGCTATGACAATTCATTAATTATCTCACACCTGTTTGCCATCGAGTTCGTTATCACTGTGTATTTAAGTTCCGCTTGTGTTGCGGTCTTTTGTCCGGTATTGTTTGTGCATAGTGCAAAGCTTTGTAGCTCGTTATTTGGATTACCGTCTTTTGTTTTCTTTCATAAACTGTGTTTTATTCGATCAGTTTTTGAATTCCCTTCATCATCTTTGACCCTAACGTCACAAGAAGTAAGCTAAACCTGTCTCTTTAAGTATTTAATAACATTTACTACCAAACATAACACTGAAAAATTCTGTTTGAATAATAATGTCATGCTTTTTTTGAGTGATACAGCCCAGGACTGCATTTCCCAAAAGCATCGTAAGCCTAAGTAGATCATAGATCCATTGCCACCAATGGTCTCTATGATCAACATCTCTCACAGTGCTTTTGAGAAACGCAGCCCAGGTTCTTGTTTCAGTTTAAGTCTGTGGGATTCTATTTGTCCATTTTATAATCTGCAAGGGCAAAATCATAATTTTGATTGCTTAGTAAACTCTTGCAAGATGAGTTACAGCAACATGTTTGACACTTAGGTTAAAGCATTCCTTCAGATGTCTAACCCTTACAATATTAATCAATATTAATAGCAAATTAGCAATATTAGTCATGCTTGCTTTACCATGAATGATGAAACATTTAAAGTCAAATTTAACTTTCCAGCAGCTTCAAGTGCAATATATTTCCTGGCAAATCAAAACATGCAAATAAAACTAGTTAATCTTGCATAGATCTTTTCATATGGACGTTTGCTGAGCTCACAGTCTATAAAATCAATCATCCGGCAAACGAGTAGCAGAGGTTGAATGCATTTCCAGCTTCAAACATTCAGAACATGAAGGACAACCTCACTCAAAATCAGACCAGCACAACCTCAGGTGAAGGAGCTCGCAGGTGTTTCCCAGAGGAAAAGTCAAGCTGTTTTATTAGCTGCTGAATGGAGGGATGTGACTTACAGTACGGTCATGACTTGTGCGCTTTAATATTTTGTTCATCGCATCTGAAATCACGTCTCTGGCATTTTCAGTTTTCTTATAAATTGTGCCTGGATCAACATGAGAGACGTTGACAGCGCATGGGAGTGATTATACATAAACATATCACTTAGTCTGAACTTGACATTAGCACTTCAAGCACAGGGAACAAATCCCATTTCAGAACGAGAGCTTCTTGGCTTCTGTGTCTGCTTTTGCTTATATTAAAATGGTATTACAGATGGACGGTTCGACCCCAAAGATTAAAATAATATAATATTCTGTATTTTCTTTACTTTGATAACCAAAGAATATTGTCTTAATCTGTCCGCCTATGCATGTGTTTTGGGGTCAGTAAGGTTTATATATTCATTCATGCATGCATTCATTGTTTGTTTGCTTATTTGTTTGTTTGAAAGAAATTAACAAGGACACCTTAAATTGGTCAAAAGTGACAGTAAGGAAATGTAAAATGTTCTTTAGAACTTTCTATTCATCAAATAATCCTGAAAAATAAAATGTATCACGATTTCTACAAAAATCTGAAGCAGCACAACTGTTCCCTTTCAGTCGGTCACTCTCGACGTCACGTCGGAGTAATGATGCTGAAAATACAGCTTTGATCACAGAAATCAATTACAGTTTAACAGATATTCACATAGAAAACAGCTATTTTAAATTGTAATAATATTTCACAATTTTACAGTATTTGCTGTATTTTTAATCAAATAAATGCAGCCTTGGTGAGCAGAAGAGACTTCTCTCAGGAACATTAAAACATTTTACTGACCCCAAACTTTTGAATGGCAGTGTCAATATGAATGTATTTTGCATTTTTAATTAAATGTAATTCATTTTATTTCAGTGTTAGTTATTTTTGTATATCAAGTTAAACTAAATGAAAATGAGAAATTTTGCCTTGCAACTAGTTGAAATCAAATGTATTTATTTATTTATTTTTTAAGTTAATGATTATTTTCTTTAAAGTAACATTTTTATGGTTTTAGCTTTAACTATAATAACACTGGTACTACAACATGCAAACAACAAACATTTTCGTGGCTTAATGTGAGAAATATATACTATATGTGTCACCACATGGAGCTCTAGAAAAAGGTCTGGCAGGAAAAAGTGAGAAGATGCTCAAAACATCACAGACGTTTCGTTTATAGCTGGTTTGTATGTCAGTTTTATCAGTGAGGCTCAGAGAAACATGCTTACAATTTGATTTAAACACAAAAGCCATTTTTTGGCACTTAGTATATGTGAAGTGTGCATGAGCATGTGTGGTCTGTCTGAAACTGTTCAACTGGTAATAACAAACCTTGAAGACATAAAGCTTTACACATCTCTGAGTGACACTAAGACTCTTCTGAGTCTCATGTTCTCAGGGGAAAAACAGTGAGAAAAGCTCAAAAACAATCAAGAAGGCTTGAATTTGACTCTTTTGTATGGATTTATGTGTGAGAGCACTTACCCATGAACGGCACACAGCTACATGTATCTGCCTGTCCTAAAAACAGCCAATCACTCAGGCCAAGGATTTACATCAGTGCTGTGAATCAAACGCTTGGATCAATCCTCTCATGCTGGATACAGAAGGGGTGCAGTCAATACTTGCATAGTCAAGCTCAGAGCCTGAGGTGTTTCAGCCAGCTGCTTCAACACGATATCAGCGCTGTAAGGATGAGAAAAGGGTTTTTTCCCCTACAGGACTGTAGAGAACTATGCTATCTGACATGTAGAGACAGGGATGATTCTGTTTGTGATGGAGCAACTGATTTCTGAATAGATGAGTGTGCTGTTGACATTAAGGAAAAACCCTTCTTGCTGAATGTAGTCCAAAGTCTAATTTGAACCATAATTCTTTGGGTCTCAGACCGGAGATGCTCTGAATAACAGATTTGTCCTTTTGCCTGCTAAACGAAACTACAACAGCATCTTTCTCAAGAAATGGTGCCATTTATGTGCTGCAGTTTACTAAAGTA